CTCCTTGTTTTTATTAGTGTTGATCTGGAGGTAGTCCTGCTGGCACCAGTCCACAAAGTCACGGGTCAGTTCTCTGTACTCCTTGTCGTCCTCTATCAGTGATGAGGCCGACTATTGCAGAGTCATCAGAGAACTTCTGCAGGAAGCACTGGATGGAGTTGTGGGAGAAATCTGCAGTGTAGATGGTGAAGAGGAACAGAGCCAGAACCGTTCCCTGTGGGGCCCCGTACTGCAGACTACCCTGTCCGACACACAGCCCTGAGGTCTCGCATACTGTGGTCGGTAGGTGAGGTAGTTCAGTATCCATGTTGTGAGGTGATGGTCCACTCCTGAGTTCTCCAGCTCAGGAGTACAGAATATACCAAAGTGATCCACTGCCCCCACCACTGTGGATGCATATGCATCAACCCCTTCAGCCAACCCATTGCAAGGAGATGATGTGGCTACAGATTGAGGAGCCAAGCAGTACTTAAGAGTTTCAGTCAGGTTTCAGAGCTCATCACAGAACCAAAATGGCCTCTGACAGTGGACTCATATGCTTTGTTAAATAGAAAAGTTTTAAGCCTAATCTTAAAAGCAAAGAGGATGTCTGTCTTCCCAATCCAAACTGGAAGCTGTTTCCACAAAAGAGGGGCCTGGAAGCTGAAGCTTTGCCTCCCATTTTACTTTTAAATATGCTAGGAACCAAAAGTGAGCCTGCATTCTGCGAGTGAAATGCTCTACTGGGGTGATCAGTATCACACAGAAAAAGATAATGAGTTCACTGTACTGAAATGGCCTCCACAGTCACCAGATTTCAGTCCAAATGAGCGTGTTTGGAATGTGGTAGAACAGGACATGTGCCTCATGGCTGTGCAGGCGACAAATCTGTGACGTGTGACGTGATCATATCAATATATAACAAACTATGCTGTAAACAATTAATGTTGTTCCGAAAAGCATGAGGGGGTCAATTCTTTAGCAAGTTGTGTCTATGAAAGTGTCCAGTGCCAATATATGTAGGAATTAGCAGCAGCTTCCAAGGCTTGATCAACCTCCATTGCTACAGAACAATTTAAATTGTTAACCTATTTTGTGTTTACTGAAAAAGGCTTTTTTGTATTATTCTGAAATGTACATTCAGTTTTGAGTAACCTTACCTTTTTATTTTTTTTTACCTCTGGCACTTCACCACTTCCCTTTGTACCAATTCAAACTGTTCATTGGACTTGAACGACTTGAATTGCAATAAATAACTGGAAAAATTGGGGTGTTGTAAAACTTTTGAGCAGTTGTTTACATGTGGTAAGAGTGAAAAACAAAACATGGTGGTCAGGAAAGTAGTTATTATCCCATTTCACAGATAGTTGCAAAATGAAAGCAGTCTCTCCCTGTGCTTTCCTCATCATTACATCTGTGTGCTGCCTTGTGGGAAGCAATGTCCATCAACAAAGCACGTAACTGTGTGGTGGTTTTCTTTTTGATGCTAGTATTTTCTTGTCTGCTAATGAATGCAGTAAGCTGGCAGAAGTTTTGGCCCAGGAGTGGTTAGGACAGTATAGTATTAAAGTATAACTTTAATGTATTTTCACCACCCATTCAGGTTTTCTATTAATATGCCATGTTAGTGCTACCATTAAAAGAACTAGATGTAACAATATACTATTCACACATCATCAATAGCACTTTGAAAAATTAAGCTACAAGTTGTCTGCACTGACAACGGATTTCAAACGTGTGAAACCTACTTCATATGGCGCAGAATCCTGCAGAGTGTGACGCTGTCACTGCAGCACATCCATCTCTATTCCCACATCTGGGATCTTGTGGATACACATTCAAAAATACCAGCCCTATAAAAAAGTGCTGAGAGTTGCATCTCAATCTTCACTTCATAGTTAGCAACTCTTTCCCTCCCACCCCCA